GCAGGTACTCCATATGGATGCATCCATATCCCAGCATACACAAGCTTCCCTCACTAAAACATCTTTCACTAAAATTAAGCTCACTATCAAAAATTATAAAGCATGTGAGGAAATAAATCATGATGAGAAAGTCACCAGATTTGAAAACCAAGAGAAATCAAAAATCAAGATCTACAGCTAATAGAAAAATATAAGAGGCTGTAAAACAAGGACACTTTAAATGTGTCCCCCAAAAAAGAATTGGGAAAAACGAACAGGTGGTATTTTAAAATGAACCAAATAGAAATGCTGGAAATTTAAAATATAGTCATTGATGTAAGAATCATAGTCAGGTGAAATAATGGACTAGATATAGCATGGTATCTCAGAAGAATGAGTAAAGAAAATGACTCAGCACAAGAAGAGAAAGAGATGTAATGCCTAAAAAAGATTTTAGAGACATGACACACAAGATGAGGAACTTTAACATTCACTTAATATGGATCCAAGAGAAAAGATTAGTCAACCTGGAGGAGAGGAAATGTCTCTAGAACTGGAGAAAGACATATTCTCTGGTATGAAAAGTACACTGCCTCCTGAGGAGAATTAAGCTATACTTAGGGACATAGTCATGAAAATGTAGTATATCAGGAATAAGAAGAACATCTTAAAATAAGAAAAGATTATTTATTATAAATCCATGACAATGAGACTGACATCAGTACCAAAAAATGCCAGAAGACTTTGTAATCATATCTTCAAAGTTCAGAGGAAAAATAGTTGTCAAGCTCGAATTTTACAACCAGCTAAACTATCATTCCAAAGTAAGGGCAAGATGAAGTCTTTCCAGGGACCAGCGTAAAAGATACTGGCCATTCCAGCTGTCATTGTGCTCAGGAAACACAATGTGACTGTGTGAGCCACACAGAATTCTCCCAGTGGAAAAGGGTCAGGTCTGAGGAACTAGGGGTCTTGTTGACTCTATCGGGTGGGTATTGCCAAGCCAATACTACTGAGGATTATATCCAGACACTTAAGAACAGGTGGGCCTTGAAGAGCAAGCATCATCTTAGCTTTAGTGCTTTTTACCCACCTAAATTACTTCATTAGTTTGAGAAGTACAAAGATAACACATTCTAGGTAGGCAGAGAGACCAGCTAAATCTACATTGTGCTCAACCTGGGATGCAAGCATATATGGATATCCTGGTCAAGTCTTTTTGTATGTAAGGAGCAGAAAACCCACCATATGATTTGGGGCCTCTCTGCCAGCTGCTTACTCCTCAACTAAAAATGGTTGCCCCACCCAGATCCAACTCTGCATGAACTTTTAGTTAAAGTATCTACTACAATCTAAGCAGAACCTACGTTTCTCTTAGTTTAAATTCTTCTCATGAGAGAAAATCTGACTGACCACTAACCAATGAAAATTTTGTCATCCTCTGTGAAGGGTGCACCTCTGATCCAATCAGTTCTGTCCCTGTAGTAGCCTTGGCTACTCAACATCCATCCTACGACCATCACTTTTTCTTGCTAAAGAAGTATATCCACCCTCCATCCTATGGCCCTTTCCCCAGCTCAAAGGATATATTTTGATTGGCCTAAGTCAATCATAGTGACACATTCCCCTTCCTAGGGATTGATTTAGGGAATGGAGCATATGATCCAGTTTTAACTAGTGATTTATAAAGGAAAGTCTGTTGGAGGATTCTAAAAAAATGATTTCTTCACTTCCTAATGAGAAGACAGCAAAACCTACAGACCCATCCCCCAAATACACACACACACACACACTCACACACACACTCACTCACACACACACACACACACACACACACACACACACACATTCTTCCTCCATCTAGCATAACCATGATTATATGTGATGACTGGAAACATTGAAGCTAGGTTGCTACCAGCCTGAAGATGAAGGAGAGCAGAAAGGAGAGCCTAGAGAAAGTGGAAAGAGAACTCTAATTTTGCTCCTCATTTGCAGACATTCCATCTCTGAACTCTTTGTAATGTATGATAGTTAGCATCTTTATTGCATAACCAAATTTCAGTTGGGATTTACTACTACTTAAAGCAAATGTATCTTAATTAAAAGAAACATGGACACCCAGGCCAGGCTTTCATCAGAGACCTTGAGTGGGCACAGCTCCCACAGAAATATCCATTGTGCCAAGTGGGTTTGGTAGACTTGAGGAGCATGAGGAATGAAGTATGTCCTAGAAAATCCCATCTCAAGAGAAGAAAAATGACAAAGAACAGGTTTACTTCAAGCATGAGTAGGGATGATTCTGGATGCAGTGTGTAATTTTGATTGTCCTCTAACCTAGTGTGCATAGACTTGTGTCTGAGTTCTAGGGCAAATGCATTGCAAAAAGAAGCAAAACATATTAATGGCTACAGTAGTCCCCCCTTATCTGCCGTTTTGCTTTCTGTGGTTTCAGTTACCACTGGTCAACTGTGGTCCAAAATTATTAAATGGAAATTTCCAGAAATAAAGTCGTAAGTTTTAAATTGTGCACCATTCTGTGTAGTGTGATGAAATCTCATACCATCCCACTCCGCCCTACTCCATCCTACTCTGTCTTATCCAGGAAGTGAATCATCCTCTTGTCCAGCGTATGACACCTATTAGTCGCTTAGTAGCCATCTTGGTTATCAGATACACTGTCATGTTATCACGGTGTTTGTGTTCAAGAAACCCTTGTTTTATTTAATAATGGCCCCAGTGGGAAGAGTAGTGTTGCAGGCAACTCAGATATGCCAAGGAGAAGCCTTAAAGCGCTTCCTTTAAGTGAAAAGGTGAAAGTTCTTGACATAAGGAAAGAAAAAATATGCTGAGGTTGCGTATTTATGGTTAGACTTATGGTTAGAATGACTTTCCTATCTGTGAAACTGTGAAGAAGGAAAAAGAAATTTGTGCTAGTTTTGCTATCATACCTTAAACTGCAGACGTTACTGCCACAGTGCATGATAAATCCACTTTTATTAGTATACTGTTATAATTATTCTGTTTGGTTATTAGTTATTATTTAACAACAATCTCTTACTGCATCTAATTTATAAATTAAACTTTATCATAGGTATGTATGTATGGGAAAAAATATAGTATATATAGGGTTAGGTACTCTCTGCGGGTTCAGGCATCCACTGGGGGTCTTGGAATGTATCCCCCATGGATAACGGGGAACTACTGCACTTCACTAAAATCTTAGTGCCATCCTGAGAGGTTCTAGTAGCTTTGGTGCCATGACCTAGCTGTGTCAGGAGACTAGAATGAAGCTTCCTTGGAGGGAAGAGGGGTCTTTGAAGCTTTGTACCAAATGGGCACAGACATCTCCCTGTTTGGAGCCAGGGACAACAATCATTGGATCTTAAAAGTCTAGACTGATTCCAACTGACTGTGCTGAGAAGGACTCAGGCATGAGAGACTGCCATGGTCAGTGAGCAGTGTCTGTCATGCAAGTGGCTGGGGACAAGCAGCACCCACGTCACACTCTCACCCTCCCGAATCCCTTCCAAGACCTCAGCCAACCACTCCCTGCATAACAGGGAAGGTGCACTCCCTCCAACACTCCACATCACGCATTCAAAAATCTTGTATTTTATCCTTTATTCTCTTAAACAAGGATACACTTACAAAAGTGCACTGTCTCCAACCAATTCAGGCATTGTTGAACAACCCTCCAAGACCAAGAGCCATTCTCATCACTTTTATTGTCCCTTGCCAATCCACAACTTGACACACCTCAACTTGCTATTTCTTGAAGATCAACAGCCCTCCAACCTAGCGAATTTTACTTCAGAATTTTAGTATTATTGTTATTTTTATGATTTTTCTTGTCTTCCTGCTTCATCCTAGAGATTTTAACCATGAGTAGCTTTGACATGCTTCAAAACCGCTTTTGTTCTTTCAGGGAGCTTTTGGAGAGGGTCCAACTTCACAACGTCCCTATGAAACAAGGCCACGGAGAATCCTTTGAATTTACTTCCTCAAATGTTTCTTGAGTACCTACTCTGTACCAGGTGCCATGGCAGATACAAAGATGAATAAAGAAGGAAAAGAAAGTGCCACTTGTTGAGATTCTGCTGTGCTATGTAATGTGCCAATACCATGCCAGGGACTTGGAAGTGCTTCAGCTCATTTCATTTCCATAGCAACCAGCAATTTCCCAAAGCATTATTATCACAATTAGAGCTGAGGAAACTGAGACTCAGAGAGGTAACAGTCATTCTTCTAGTGATTAGTGGAGCTGGCATTTGAATCATGTCTGTCTGACTTGTGGACAAAAAATGTCGCCTACCATATCAGTAAACAAAGGATGCTGGGACGACCGATCCATCAGCCACTGCAGTCCCCGAATGTGCACCCTACAGGGATTCAGGATGGAGAAAAACAGGATACTGGCCCTAGATAGCTGAGGTGTCTATCAAAGGAATGATTTAAATGAGCCCAGATTCTTGCATCTTCCCATACATAGAAAAGTGCTAAATTCATTAACCTGAGATGTCTGGTTTTCTTTAATGAGTGGTAATCTTTTGATGCTCATCTACCTGGGTTTTTTGTTTGAATTTCTGTATATCCCGGCTCCTCCCTTACCTCTTCAGATCTGTCCCTCAGAGCTATCTGAGAGCCTGTCTCCAGGGCTTAAGTCCTCAGTAAAGCTACCGAATAAAACATAATTCTCAACTTTTAGGTTGTGCACTTTTTTTCAGTCAACAGACTCAAAGCCCATTGTGTTTCAATGCACCAAGACAAGGGACCATATGAGAAGGCTTAAAGGAAAGGGGGAGGAGGGGTCCTGGGAAATTTGGAGTCAGAGCATTTCCTAGCAAGCTGTATGAAAGTAGGCCAGTTACTAACCTCTCTCAGCCTCAGCAGCTCAGTCAACATGGGCTAACACCTACCTTGCAAGGTTGTTGTGAGGATTAAAAATAATATGTGTAAAGCATCTAGCACATGGTACTAGCCTATAAAGAATAATTATTGTTATTCACAGCTTTGCAAATTACCATTTATCAAAGAGGCAGGTGCCATTTTCCTCCACCCCAAGTTCTCAGAATTTGCAGCGGGTATGAAATCTAGGACCTAAGTTAACAGGATTTTGCTATATGGCTTTGAGAAGGCATGTGTTTGTCTCAAGAATCTCCAGGAAGTCTGTAAGAAGAGAAAATCCCAAATCAGAGGCAAAATCAAGTCCTCATTCAGGGCAGATACTGGGCAGGAATGCCAAGAGAAGCCACCATAGTTCAAGCCTGCTTGTGAATTTGCATGAAGAGTGAAAAACAACATGACCACGGATCTGGCCCCATGGAATAGCCACGGGCATCTTCAGTGAGAAGAAGGCCATTATCTAAACTGCTTGGAGTCCCACAGCAAATCTTTACAGAAAGGCACAAACTCACATTGGATCAGGCTTTTGTGGGTCTCCAGGGAATGCTGACTTTGTTAATGTCACCACAAATGTGTCCCTGAATGAGGGAATTGACAGGACACCTGTCTCTGCATTGAAACCTGATTAAAGCAAGTCCAGCCCCTACTATTCTCTCAGAAGTTTTCACAGTTTCTAAGCTGTTTAGTCCTTTGTGATTTGGTCATTTCTATGGCAGGAAGGCTTCATCCTTGATTCTTTTAGTGATAATCCATCCACAGCACAGCATGAATACTCGAGGAACAGGCTGTCTCCCAAATAGAATTGCCTAGGTGGAAGGACTTGATAGGAACTGAAAATGCATCCCCAAAAGCCACCCTCACAAATAAGAATTTTTCCCTACCTCCTGTCACTGATGCTGTGAATTCTTCTCTGGAGGAAGAGCGGCAGGGAGGTAGCATCCCAAACTGTTTCACGAAAGAACCCCTCAAAAAGAGGGTAATAGTGGGGATGGCTGGGCAACATTGTGAATATACTAAAAACTATTGACTTGTACACTTTAAAGTTGTGATGTTTATGTTATATGAATTATATCTCAAAAATATTTTTTAAACATTAAAAAAAAAAAAGAGAGAAGTTCAGCTTTGGGAAACTTGTCCAGGAGGCCTGGAGGGCCCAGACCCAATTAGAGCTCCAGAGAGGGACTCTTGTGCACATCACGTTCTGCTCTTTAATATATCTGTATTTGTTGTAATGTTTTAAGGGTTAAAATTATTTGCCAGTTAAAATGCTTAACCTTTATCCCCTCAGATATTTAAATAAAATTGATAACCCAGGAAGATGTGCCTTAGTTTTCCAGGGGTTTGGAGAACCTTGTGGCAACACCAATTGCTTGTGGGCTTAAGAAGCATGAGAGGGCTTCCCTGGTGGTGCAGTGGCTAAGAGTCCGCCTGCCAATGCAGGGGACACGGGTTCGTGCCCCGGTCCGGGAAGATCCCACATGCCGCGGAGCAGCTGGGCCCGTGAGCCACGGCCGCTGAGCCTGCGCGTCCAGAGCCTGTGCTCCGCAATGGGAGGGGCCGCAGCAATGAGACGCCCGCGTACCGCAAAAAAAAAAAAAGAAGCATGAGAAACCAGCCAGGCTTACCAAAGTATGATCCCGGGTGTGGATCTCAGGATGCTATCCCATTGCCTATAGAAAAATGTTGTCTGTCATTCCATTAAACAACAAATGCTGCCCACCATCAAGTCATCGGCCACTGCAGCCACCCCCGTTAGTACTCTATGCAGGGAATTCTGGATGAAGGAAAACAGGATACTGGCCCTAGATAGTTAAGATGCAAATCTAAGGAATAATTTCAATGAGCCCAGATTCTTGCATCTTCCCATACATAAAAAAGCACTGGGCTTCCCTGGTGGCGCAGTGGTTGAGAGTCCGCCTGCCGATGCATGGGACACGGGTTCGTGCCCCGGCCCAGGAAGATCCCACATGCCGCGGAGCGGCTGGGCCCGTGAGCCATGGCCGCTGAGTCTGCGCGTCCGGAGCCTGTGCTCCGCAACGGGAGAGGCCACAACAGTGAAAGGCCCGTGTAACCGCACCCCCCCGTAAAAAAAAGCACTAAAATCATTAACTTGAGTCGTCTGTCTTTTGTGATTAGCAGTAATCTTTTGATGTTCTACCCCATGTTTGGTTTGTCTTTGCTTTTTGGTTTTTTCAGCAAAAACTCCTATATAACCTGGCTCCTCCCTTACCTTTTTGGAGCTGTTCCTCAGAGCTATCTGAGAGGCTGCCTTCCCAGGCTTTAGTCCTCAGTAAGGTCCCCGAATAAAACATAACTCACAACTTTTAGGCTTGCATTTTTCTTCAGTCGACAGTCTCGATACGTGATTCCAGGGTATAGATCCTTGCTGTGGACTCTGGTCTGGCCAGGTCACTCAGAACGCTCATTTCCTCTTCTGTTAAATTAGGAATCCAGCACCTGCTGTGCTATGAAACACACCCAAACCTACGTACATATGAAGCATATACATATGCCTTGTCACAGGAATAACTGGCAAAAGACAAAACAATAATGACCACAACAGCCCCCAAAACACCATTACACAGACGTTCATACTCACTAGAGGGTACCTCCAGATTTGAAAGAGCTTATCCAAGGCAAGAGACCTCCCTCAGGTGAGCAAAGAACAAACATTTAACGGAAGATTGCCATTTGAAGCAAGAAAGAAAAGCTCCTCCATCCGGTAATGGAGCCCTGTGAGGACAAGGTCAGGGCAGACCTCTGCAGCTGGAAGAAACATCCTTTCCTTATTATGGGTTCAGGCTGTAAGTCAAGAACAAAACAGTTGCTTGTTTTCACAACAGTACAGATCAAATGGTAAAAGAAGTGATCATACCAAATAGAAGATTTAAATTAGAGGTCCATCCTCACCCACCAAACCAGAACTCAGCACAACCTAGCTTCCTTCCTGTGTCCAGCGTGCAGAGGCCTAGAGCTGACGCTACAACCGCAAGTGTGGATGTGGTCACCGTCGTGAGGAGATTAGCAGCAGCGGTACATGGCTCAGGCCTGAGCAGGCAAGCGGCCTGGGCCTCACGGGGCCCTGCTCCTTCCTTGACATTTTCTAAGCACCCCTCAGGGCCTGGAACTGGCTGGGGCCAGCAGTGCCATCTGAGAAGACGCCTCAAGCCCAGACCAGGACACAGAGAACTCCATCCCTGTTTCTCCCCTTCTCAGTGCTGACTCTCTACCCTGGATGTGGGGATGTCGGATGCCCAAAGGAGCTCTGGAACATGCCTACGTGTCCCGTTTTAGGACAGCAGCCAGGCCAGCAGCTTACCCTTCCTACTTACAGTATTTCTTTGTGAGATCATGCAAGATTGGGCCCCTAAAATGGTGTTAACATGCTGAGTTGGGGTGACACTCACATATTCCACAGAATAAGTTCAGGGCCAGTGTGTCAACCCTCCCCCCTCCCCCATGTTCTATGCTCAGTGCCGCCTCAGACCTACAACATCGGACAGCAGCAGGTGTCACTTATCCTATGTGTCCCCAGCTGCTGGCGCCCACGGAGGTCTCCCAAGCCCTCACCGGCTCCATGCCTCACGCCCAGCCGTCCTCTGGGGATGGTCTCACCTACATCCCCTGAAGCCTCTTGAGATTGCCGCTCTGCAACACCAGGGGGCGCTTTAATTGATGTCCTCGCTTGCTCCTAATCCATGCGGCGACATTGCGCTCTCCTGCTCAGTCTTCCCCCACGGTAGAGGACAGATGGACATGCCTCATACAAGGTATGTGCCTCGCTTTTCTCACTCCACTCACAGGCCCCTCGTCCATCCTCCCTGCAGGCAAAGGTGTGTCTACGTTGAACGAGAGCACATCCTATGAAGGCAGTGATTAAAGCCTAAAAATTTCAAGAGAAGACGTGGTCAGAAGATGTGGTCTAGGGACTTCCTTGGTGGCCCAGTGGTTAAGAACCCGCTTGCCAATGCAGGGGACACGGGTTCGAGCCCTGGTCCAGGAAGATCCCACGTGCCACAGAGCAACGAAGCCCATGCTCCACAACTACTGAGCCTGCACTCTAGAGCCCACAAGCCACAACTACTGAACCCGCGTGCCACAACTACTGAAGTCCATGTGCCTAGAGCCCGTGCTCTGCAACAAGAGAAGCCACTGCAATGAGAAGCCCGCACACCGCAACGAAGAGTAGCCCCCGCTCGCCACAACTAGAGAAAGCCCGCATGCAGCAACGAAGACCCAATGCAGCCAAAAATAAATTAATTAATCTTTTAAAAAAAGAAGATGTGGTCTACCTTCAGGTTAAAAAATTCCAAATGGTAAAGGTAACAAGACCAGAGATCTATCATTCTCATTTTCCTGTATACTCCGGGTAAGATCTGTTTTTGTGCTCCTCAACCACGAAGCAAGCAACATTTGAGAGTCATTGGAAGCCAGTATTCACAGGTGGCCTGATGCAGAGGCAGCATCATAAGCAGTGATATCACCGTCACTAAATAGCTGATATCAGGGAACTGCGGGAATGAGCAGATCTATATTGTTTCAATACAAACAGCCACAGCAATGGGAGCAGTAACAGCATTGCTACCTTTTCCTCATAATGAGGAGTATGAAATTAGCCAGGAATGGTGCATTTCACAATAAAGAACATGAAGAATGTTTCCTGGACCTGAACAGGATGAGATGGTGCCAGAACACTACAGAGAGTCTTCACATGCACCAACTGGACAATAAACAAATCCATAAGTACCTCTGCTCCCCCTATTTTTCTATATTGCCAACAATAAATCACTATGTCACATGAGCCCATGCCCATGGATTTTAAATTCTTTAAAATTAATTTAAAATTTAAATTAACTGCAATTTCTTTGTCTTAATCAAATAGTTTTCATAAACAGCTTTATGAAAAATATTTGCTCAGGGCCCTGTACACCCTAGAGGTTCCCTGGGCAGGAGTGCATCTTTCTAAGGTAGAGGAGGAAGGTTTGTGGGAAAGAGCTGGGCAGAAACATGCTTGGGAAAGTGCATTCAAACCTGAGGACAGGAGAACCTGGTCATGAGTGGAGACTTCTGTCCCCTTCAACTAGTATTTATTAGTCCCCTAAGAGCCACCCCAAATAGAATAAAAATAAATTTTAAAAAAGAAAAATAAGCACACTAAAGGTTTGAAAACTTGAGGCTAATATCAAGAGGAAGTATAGCAAGAACAGTAGTTGCTAAAGCAAATTACCCTACGTTCAAACTCTCCCTCTACCATGTATAGTCATGTGACCTTGAACCTATCTGAGCCTCAGTACTCCATTCTGTAAAATGGGGGAATAACAGTAACTCTCATCAAGGTACTTATTGTACAATAAGTGCTCCATCAGTGTCAGCTGCTATTATCTGTTTGTGGAAGGAACTAGCCAACCATATGCAGAATAAAAAATCCTAGATCAGTTTCTGTAAAGTCCAGTTAATTATCTTTATGTTTAGAATACTGCAACTTTTAAAGTTTTTTAAAGATATAAATCCTCCAACTTAAATTCATACTGTATCTTAATAAAGATAGAAAAAAACAAATGAATCCAAACTTACACAGTGATGAAAATGTAGAATTGCAGCAATAAAGAGAACATCTTAAACTTAAATCAAGAAAAAAGACAGACTGACTACAAAGCAATGGCATTTGGAGTGATAATAGATTTTCTAGAACACAGTGGAATCACATCTTTTAACGTAATGATGGAAAACAATTATCCTACTTCTCTACACCTAAGTATTCTATCATTTAAGAATGAGAATGAAATCTTTTTATTTTCCATTTTCACCGACTCTAATGCCTTGGGCCCCCCAAATCAGATCGTCACCCTTAAACCCCTTCTACAGGGAAACTTTTAACCACCTATGTGACTAAAGAATGTACTGAGAATGCCTGAATCCACATCTAGAATGAGAAATATATACACGTTCAAGGAGTATTAAAACCAAGTATAGGGCTTCCCTGGTGGTGCAGTGGTTAAGAATCCGCCGCCAATGCTGGGGACACGGGGTCGAGCCTTGGTCCAGGAAGATCCCACATGCCGCGGAGCAACTAGGCCCGTGCACCACAACTACTGAGCCTGCACTCTGAAGCCCGCAAGCCACAACTACTGAGCCCGCGTGCCACAACTACTGAAGCCCGCACGCCTAGAGCCCGTGCTCCACAACAAAAGAAGCCACCGCAATGAGAAGCCCACACATTGCAACGAAGAGTAGCTCCCGCTCGCCTCAACTAAAGAAAGCCTGCAAGAGGCAACGAAGACCCAACACAGCCAAAAATAAATAAATAAAATAAATTTGTAAAAAAAAAAAAAAAAAAAAGTATATTTGCCACCTAGCCTGCAGCAGCCGTTGAGTAGAAATCATGTGATCATTTATACACAGCCACACTCCAAATATTGATGCTCCAAACCCCTATGCCCTTGACTAATAGGAAGTCCCATTCTTTGCTGCAGTACCCTCCCTAAACTTTTCAGCTCTCTCAGAATTTACATGTGAAACCCAAATGTACCTAAATCTACCCATCTGTGGGTCCCAGGTAAGGGCCGTTCTTTCCTGGAGTGTCTGGAATGCCCCACATAAACGCAGAGCCTCCGCCTGACCCACCCTCAGCTCTCACCCTACCGGTGCTCTGTGATCTGTCGCCCCCTGCCGGTCTCACTGGACATAGTCTTCCCTTCCCCTCTGGAGTCCAGACTACCATTTTCTGGCTTATTCCAGGCCACCCTCAAACTACTGTCTACCACTGCAAATTTCAGGCACACCACCAGCCTCTGGCCTCGGCTGCTCCTTTCTCTCTCTCCCCAGAATGGGGCTGCTTTCCCTTCTGAGACCTAGTTCTCTCTCAGTGCTGTGTGCCCCTAGTAATACAGCTGTGAACCCCATATTTCCCAAAGGGCTTTTTTTAAAGTCATTTTGTTTCTGCTATACATTAACCACAAAAGAACTAATTCCAAAACCAAAAAAAAAAGACAATTACGTGAAAAACGGCTCAGAACCATGAAATAGATGCTGATTATAAATATAGGCTTCAGGCATTATGAAATGAGGCAGCTCTAAATTTTCAAAGAACAAAGAGAAAGCAAGAGGATTTTTTAAATATCAAAAGGACTTTCAGGTTATAATTAGTAAATTGACTAACCTTTTTAAAGGTAAAAGTGAATTTCTAAAGCCTAAGGCATTCATGGGATTATACAATACTGTAAGTCTAGAAGATGGCTCTGCCAAACTTCTCACTCCACAGGTGAGAAAACAAAATGTTACGTGACTTTCCCAAGGTCACAAAACAGGTCTGTGGCTGTCAGGATTTGAATCAGTGCCCCGAGCTCCCTTCTTTAGGCTCTTTCCACTCTGTCTACAATAGAAGATGTGTTCACAAATGAGTGACAATCCCCAGAGTTACATGGATAAATATACAATGGTGGTGGCTGTGGAGGCAGTGATGATAGTGGTGGTGATGATAGCGGCGGTGGTGGTGATGGTTGAAGAGGTGGTAGTGATGGTGGTGGTGGTGGTGGTGGTGATGGTGGTGGTGGTGATGATGAAGGAGGTGGTGGTGATGGTGATGGTGGAGGAGATGGTGGTGGTGATGGTGGTGGTGGCGATGGTGGTGGTGATGGTGGTGGTTGTGATGATGAAGGAGGTGGTGGGATGGTGATGGTGGAGGAGATGGTGGTGGTGATGGTGGTGGTGGTGGTGGTGATGGCAGTGGCGGTGGTGGTGGTGGCGGTGGCAATGGCGATGGTGGTGGCAGTGGTGGTGGCAGTGATGGTGTAGGTGGTGGTGATGGTGGAGATGGTGGTGGTGATAGTGGTATGCATATGTGCTGGAATATTGAAGAGTAGGGGACAGACAGTTCAAGGGCAACTCAAAGGCATGTCAGCTGAGGCAGAGATTCAGTTATGACTGGGTATATCTAACACATTGAAGGAATGAGGCCTGGGATGCAGCAGCTATAAGCAAATCAATTAGATGTACCTATAAACAAAATGAGGGACAGTACAGCAACTGAGGACGCAAAAAGGTCATAAGGACTTTTACGTGTGGGATTGCCCTGTGTGTTGGATACTTCCAGGATGGAGAAACTTCCTGACAGTGAGTCTCCTTGAGAACACAGGTTGTGGAAACCCATCGGTATTTGTTGATTGCCTTTTTGGTGCAAGACTCTCTGCTAGGCCTTGGCAACACAAGGGTAAGCAGGAAAGCAGGACAAGTCCCTGTTCTATACCTACCTTCAAAGGTTCTTGATTTTTGTTCTTTTAATGATAGGAGAGTTGCCTGGCTGAATAAGACAATTTGCCAAGTCCTGCCCACCTGTCCTGAGTGGTGGTGCAGCCTGGAAGAGCCCTGGTTATCTCTTGCGGAAAGGTCCACATGTCATTGAAAAGTCCTCATGAGCCATCCACTCTGGCCCACAGTGCCACTGTGCGGTAGGCACCCGTGGGCTGATCCTGCACAAAATAAAACAAGCAGTAGCAGCTTCTAAGTCAACATACCACTCCTGGTCAGGAATTCAAAGCACTTTCTCTGAATAACTATTGTGCTGAACCAAGGCAAAGAAAAGGCTCTAGAATCTTGGGGCTCAATGGACCCTTAGTGATCAGCTATTGGGCCCAAGTTCTCCTCTGTAAGATCTCTGACTGTGGTCAAATCATGGAATCAGTGAGCAGAGGGCAGCTCTCTACTCCTTCAGACCATCCATTTATTTGATCCATGATGCTGATGGGCTCTGTTGAGTATGGAACACATCTCCATTTCTACAAGAGCCTAACACTGACCAGCTATTGCAGCAACAATTCAGCTCATTACCTCATCCCGGTTCAGGTCCTCCATTCACCCCCCTCAGACCTTTATCCTGAGTCCTCTCTATCCCTTGGAAATATGTCTCTTTCCTTGCTTATGTTGGTTCTTCTCTCTTGTCTCGTCATCAGGTGTGTCTTCATACACTATGACGACACTCCTGGCACAATAACTGACTTAGAATTGGCCCAGTTAGGCTTATCAGATGTGGAGTGTCTGCTCTCTGTAGAAACAGGGGATACAAGGATCAACGACATGTCCTCCTCCCTAAAGAACTTAGCAAATGTTAGTGCCTGGCAGCTCTGTCTTCTTCTATTATTCTAACATGGCACCTGCACCGTTACCTCCAGGGAGATGGGTATGTAAATGAGACAGGCATGAGAACAGACAGAGAATAGGCCATGCAGGTATGAATGATTCTTTCCACATCCCTTCCTCTTAGAGAAGACTTAGAGGATCTCAGTAGCTCCCCTCAGAAACTGGCAGGGGACACACACAAGGAAGAGAAAAAAGTGTAGAACCACAGCTGAGGTTTTGTTGACTTTAGAGTTTGCTTTACTTCAATTCCCTATAAACTCAGAATTGATAACAGTGTGTAAATCAACTTATTATAATGTCATTTCACTTTAGATTTTCCAAAATTGAAAATGGCCTCATGTGTATCTCAGTTTCACAACACTATCAGATTCCAGCCATGAGATCAGAGTATCTTCTACTTCCTAAATTGTGGGTTCGGACTTTTAGGTGGTAAAACCCTTTTTCAGGTTGTAGCCACCAACCTATTACAAACTTCCAATCATTATCATCCTTACATGCATAAGTTAAGCTCATTATTGAAGTTATCTCAGAAGATACAACTCATTACATTTTCTTTTTTCCTATTGAATCATGCAATCATGTAATATATGGTCCACAGATACAAACTGCGGTTCCCGAGTGCCAGGCTAGGGACCAGAGCTGGTCCATAATCAGGTCTTCATTTGTCCACCTCGTTTTGAAGTGAATGAAGAAAACGAGGGGTGCGTGTCATTGTGAGGGGCCAATTCTTGGGAAGTTAGGTCTTCTAGTCTAAGATTAACTCAATCTTATTCATCTGGTATTAAAAATCTTTTATAAAATAAAGGTGCTAGTGTGTTAACTGTTGCATACTTTCTTTCTGTTATATTCTTATCGGCAAAATAAAACCTGTTAACCTCGAATCACCTGACAAACATTTTGTTAACTGAGCCTACAGCACGCTGCCACCCCACACTACCAGGGATTACGTTCCCACCCTACAAAGAACCAGCCTGATGGGAATCCAGGAAGAATTGTGAGATGCAGGAGGATTTGTGAGAAACGGGACACTCTACTTAGAAGTATTCAAAAGACACCCAATTAAGGACCAAGTTAGAGCTGCTTTTTTTCCGGACGCACAGGCTCAGCGGCCATGGCTCACGGGCCCAGCCGCTCCGCGGCACGTGGGATCTTCCCGGACCGGGGCACGAGCCCGTGTCCCCTGCATCGGCAGGTGGACTCTCAACAACTGCGCCACCAGGGAAGCCCGCAAGTTAGAGCTTTGACTAGACCCAACTTCAAATAAGAGTTGTAATTAGGGCTCATGAAGGTGCACGTGAGAGCCATCCAGATTTATTTGTTTATTCATAGATGGAGATCTGGATGCCTTCATAAGAATCTGATATAATTTCAACTTTGAAATATAACCAATAATAAAATTCTGAGAGATAAAAATAATTAGGGTATTTGCATCCTGCTGGATGATAAATTTTAATGATTAAGAGCAGTGCGATTCCAGTGCCAGAACCGTCAGATTAATGGAATAAATAAAAAGTCCAGAAACAGATCCAAGCACATACAATAATTTACATCTGATAAAGGGGATATTTTCAAAAGTGAAAAAAGGATAAATTGTCAAATAATAACGGTGAGACCACTGGCTGTTTGGAAAAAAATAAGTACCATCCCTAACTCACAGCTAACACCCTCCCCCACAAAGTCCAGATAGATTAAGCATTCACATTTTAAATTTTTTAATAGAAGTAAAAGAAAATATAGATGAAATTGTATGAATATTGGCATGAAAAAAGCCTTTCTGATGCTGACAACCACCAAAGGCAGACATTATAAAGGAAAACGTCAGTTAGACATATAAAAACTTAAAAATCTCTCTGTGGGAAGGAACCTATAAACAGGATTAAAAGACAAAAAATAGCAGTATGACAATGGATTAATATTTTCAATATATATAAAGTCTTATTTATATAATAATATATATAATTTTAATATATTTACATTTTATATATTAGCAATATGTATATATAAAAGCAATATGAAGCAAATTAAGTGATAAAAATGCTAACTCTAAAAATCAAAAGTAAAACGAAGAAGCAAACCAAATTATACAGCCATTCAGTAGCAGAGAGAAACTATTGGAAGTGATTTTAAAACATAGTAATTTGACTGGGCATCCCTAGTGGGATACACCCTCAGGACCCCAAAACCCCAAAATATAACAGTAATAAATTTTAAACTGTTTTTAATGTTCATATTGTGGACAATAAAGTTGGTACTGCTATTTTAAGTCTGAGATTGTGCTGTTCAGAGCCAAGACCCTTGGAGTGGAAGAAAAGAGATACAAATAGATATTAAATCAATGAAATAAAGTAAAAATCCTGTAGTCCTGAATTTGAATGGGAAGTATCAGTAGGAACTTATAATACATTTTCTTACTTGTATTTCCTGTCTCTGTCCACTGAAGGCACTTAGAAGTAATGACAATACCAGTGGTAACCAGGACCCCACGGCACCCAGGTTGTGTCTGTAAATATCATCTTCCTCTAAAAGAAACCAGGATTTCCCCAGAGAAATTACTAATTTCAGGTCTGAGGCGGGAAATGTATGCTATGAGCCTGCATCTTCTTTCATAACAGATAGCAAGGAAGCTATCAGACTGCTAAGGTCATTCAAAAGGACCCAGGAACCAACAGCAAGAAGCACCCATTGGCCAAAGACGATGAGTTCAACATCAATAAGGACAACAACCACAATCAATTTCAACAGATCAAATATATTTAAATGTATGAGTTCATACGGTTCCCATGGAGTATAGAAGGAAACCATCTCATTATTTTGAAAGGGGTAAGAATCAAACCCTTAGCTTCCTTACCTATATAAACGGTATCTTAAGGCAACCAGACAGTTCTACTTGGGGAATTTCTCCTTACAGAAGCGTCCCAGCTAGTAAATGCCAAAGGAATGATAGACTACCATAATTTTGGAAATCCCTCATCAATAGATGGATTTAGGGCTTCCCTGGTGGTGCAGTGGTTGAGAGTCCGCCTGCCGATGCAGGGGACGCAGGTTCGTGCCCCGGTCCGGGAGGATCCCACGTGCTGCGGGGTGGCTGGGCCCGAGCACCATGGCCACTGAGCCTGAACATCCGGAGCCTGTGCTCCGCAACGGGAGAGGCCACAACAGTGAGAGGCCCGCGTACCACAAAAAAAAAAAAAAAAAAGAATAATAGATGGATTTAGGTAATGATCCTCAATATATCATCAATGCCATCATCAACACCATAAAAAGAGGGAACCAGATGTTATGTGCCTGTTGCTGGAAGTGCACAGTGCCACCTACGAAGTGTTTTGTCAAAAAAGAATCGAAAAATCAAAAAAGTTGAACCCGATCAAGTATTTAGATCTAACTACAATTTACAGATAGTTCAGGGGAAAGAGGAATGCATTAAACACCATCACAGTAATGCAGTCAGCAAAATCGAGACCAGCGGAATTCTCCAAGGCAAATAACCAAATTTCTTTAGCAACAAAAAAAATAAGGGTTGTGAGGGATAAAAGGAGGGATGGAGGGAAGGAAGGAAGGAGAAAGTGGAAATGAAATCTATGGATTAAAAGAGACATAAATATGTATAGGAAAAGAGAGGACATGTGAACACAACAGACTGGATGACGTTTAGAAGATATTACCGAGTTTTGTTTTAGTGGTGGTGGTAAAGTGGTTATTTTGAAAAGGAAATATACTTTAGAGATACATATGGAAATATCTGTAGATATAATAATATGATTATTCAGGAGGAGGTTGGCAAGAGGTTTGCAGGAAATAAGAGTCTTCACGTGTTAAATTGTTAAATTGTTAAAGCTGAGCCATGAGGACATCAAGGCCATTATACATTCTCACTATTTTTATATATGCTTGAAATTTTCCATAATAAAAAGATAAAGAGGGAATTCCCTGGTAGTCCAGTGGGTAAGACTCCACGCTCCCAATGCAGGGTTTGATCCTTGGTCGGGGAACTAGATCTCACATGCATGCCACAACTAAGAGTTCGCATGCCGCAACTAAGAAGCCTGCATGCCACAACTAAAAAGGTCTTGCGTGCCGCAACAAAGACCCAGCACAGACAAAATAAACAAACAAACAAATATTTTTTTAAGATAAAGAAAAAAACAAGGAAAAGTTAATTACATCAACTGACCAAAAAAAAGCACTAAGAATATAATCGGGCAATTTATAAAAGAAGAAATAGAAATAATTGATAGGAAAATGAAAAAAGAAATCCTGTCTTAGAAGAAAACTAAAAAATGTAAATTTTTTAAAAGGTGAGGTTTCGTTTTTCCTCTACCACACTGTCCAAACATTTAGAGATGAATGATACCCCCTGGTGGCAAGGGAATGCGAAAAGGAGCACCCCAAACGCTAGACTCAGTGGCTCAGGTTCTCTGGAGAGTGTTTATGTAATGAAAATCCCGCTAAATACATGGTGAGGGACTTCCCTGGTAGTGCAGTGGTTAAGAATCCGCCTGCCAATGCAGGGGACACAGGTTCGAGCCCTGGTCCGGGAAGATCCCACACGCCGCGGAGCAACTAAGCCCACGCGCCACAACTACTGAGCCTGCGCTCTAGAGCCCGCGAGCCACAACTACTGAGCCCATGGGCCACAACTACTGAAGCCCTCGTGCCTAGAGCCCGTGCTCCGCAACAAAGAGTAGCCCCCACTCGCCGCAGCTAGAGATAGCCCACGCTCAGCAACGAAGACCCAATGCAGCCAAAAATAAATTAATTAATTAATTAATTAAAAACAAAAAGAAGAGAAGAGAAATAGAAAAGAAAAAATATATATGAAAAAAAAATACATGGTGAGGAGCCAGGGCTCCAGAGCCAGCTGGCCAGGTCAGATCTCAGTCATACCGTTTACTGGAGACAGGACTCAAAGCAAGTTTAACTGCTCTGTGTCTCACGTCCTAGTCCTAAAATGACTGTAATAGCAGCACCTCCTGAAAGAGTTACTGTCAGGTTCAATCAGTGAATTTTGCGTGTGTGTGTGTGGCCGCACCACACGGCATGCAGGATCTTAGTTCCCCGACCAGGGATGGAAACCGTGCCCCCTACAGTGGAAGCTCAGAGTCTTAACCACTGGACCGCCAGGCAAGCCCTCAGTCAGTGAATATTCGTAAGAAACTTGGACCAGTGCCTGGCATATAGTGCTGGCTTTCATTACGATGTTGGTCCAGCAACCTCACTTATCCGTATCCTTATCCTAAGGAAATCTTTATTAAGCTCACAAAGATGTATATACACATTTGTTTATCATTCCATGATTTATCAAAGGCCCAACGTAGGAAAGCTTGGCTAAATAAATTTTTGTAATCTTTACCTTGTGATACTATGTGGCCATTAAATATAATTATGTTGACACATGCGTATTGATGTAAGGACATTTATAACCTATTTTCAAGAAGGAAAATCAAGTTAGAGAAGAATAAATATAGTTGAACTCTAGGAAGGAGACATATGTATGTTTTTAATCAGTGCATGCATACCTAGTAGTTGACTCTGGATTTGGGGGTTATTCAAATTTATTTTTCTTTTTGATTATCTGTGTTTTCTAATTTTTCTACATCAATCTTACTGCTTGGATAATTTTTAAATAATTTACTATGTTACATATTGTGATGGTTAATTTTATGTCAGGGTCAACTTGACTAGGCTAAGGGATGCCCAGATAGCTGGGAAAACTTTATTTTTGGGTGTGTCTCTCAGGGTGCTTCCGGAAGAGATTAGCATTTGAATCAGTAGACTGGGCAAAGAAATTCCACCCTCACCATCCTGGCTGGGCATCATCCAATCCATTGAGAGCCCAAACAGAATGAAAAAGCAGAGGAAGGATAAAGGACGATTTAGCTCTCTCTTCTTGAGCTGGGACGTCCATCTTCTGCCCTTGAGACGTAATTCCTGGTTCTCAGGCCTTCACACTCCAAGACTGAGAAGCTTTCCTGGTTCTCCAGCCTGCAGACACCAGATCATGGGACTTCTCGGCCTCTATAACTGCATGAACCAATTCCTGTAATAAATTTCCTCTTCATATATCTATATCTATATCTGAACCTATATCTATATCCTATTGCTTCTGTTTCTCTGGAGAACCTGACTAATACACATATGTTCCAAAGTTCTTATAAATCTTGCCCCCCCAAAATTTTAATGTATTTGAAAAGTAGGGAGGGGTAAACAGCATAGAAATGCGAAACTAATATGTGAGTCTCCAGAGTAGATAGAGAAACACATTTGGGGACATAGAACTTGATAATGTACATTCAAGAACAGAGTCATTCTGTACAGGTGATTATCACTAGCATGTGTAAGCACATGCAAAAGACATGTGTACTCACATCTATTTCACTTGGGTCCCCCTGAAAGCGGAACCTGAGGCAAGGACTTGGGTACAGGTTTTATTTATTTCAGAGATGCTCCCAAGAAGCGGAAGCGAGAGGGTGAGAAAAATGAAACCAGAGGGAGAAAGGCCAATAAAGGGTGTGTTAATAAATTCTAACTGTTGCAGGAGACTGGGATTCACTCCCCCTGGGGACTTTGAGAAACTGCAGAATTAACCTCAGAGCTGTCCCACCAAAGCATGGGAAGGCTGGAGCGATTACTCACCAACTCCCACTCCACCTTGGGTGTGGGCTGCCCTGGTAGAGACAGCTCTCCAGCATTTGCAGGCTGTACCTGCAAGTAGCCTGTGCAACCTCCCACCAGAGACAACCCTGAGGCCGAAAAGCAGAGGTCCCAGAGCACACTGTGATGTGGGGGACCAGCAACGGTAGTGCACTCAGAGCTACAGGAAACCAGCATGTGGCGAGGGACCCCACAAGCACCTTTTTACACCTTCCTTGCCCAAAGCCTGTGAATAAGAAAGCGTAACTTTGTCGGCAGAACTCTGAGAGAGGGATGAACTGCCCCCACTACTCCCCACTCACTGTCCCTTCCCCTCCTCACTTGCCACTGAGATCCTGGTTGTACACCTTCTCAGCTGTTCAAAGGTATGAGATCCAGGGCTTCCCTGGTGGCGCAGTGGTTGAGAGTCCGCCTGCCGATGCAGGGGACACGGGTTCGTGCCCCGGGCCGGGAAGATCCCACATGCCGTGGAGCGGCTGGGCCCGTGAGCCATGGCCGCTGAGCCTGCGCGTCCGGAGCCTGTGCTTCGCAACGGGAGAAGCCACAACAGTGAGAGGCCTGCGCACCTCAAAAAAAGTAAAAAAAAAAAAAAAAAAGGTATGAGATCCACAAAGGGAACTTACTCCCCAGGAGCTAAGGGGTGGGCTGACCCGAGTCCCACGTAAGGCCCTTCATAAGCTAGCCTCTGGCCTCACTGAACAGCCTGGCACCATGATACCCCCAAGCCTCCTTTGCCCCAGATCCCCTTTGCCCTCTGCAGTGCCTTTCCTCCTCACTTCCCCTGGTTCCTCTTGCTAGAACTTCAGGGCTTAGCCCAGGTATCAGGACCACGCAGAGGTCAAAAGAAGCCTGGATGGAGGGCTGGGGAGAGGGACAGACCCGAGGTAGTGGGGAGAGATAGGTGACGCAAGACTGGCCACGAGCTGAGTGGACAACGGTTGAAGTTGGGTGGTGGGAACGTGGGTTCATCACGCTATTCCCTCTACTCGTGAGGCCTGGAGGTGCACGGCTGGGTTTCCCTTTAGGGAAAACAGTGGCTGTTCAACTAGGTCTCACTCGCCTGGGCACCTCAGTCGATGGCCAAGCTGGCTGGGGGGACGAGGTCCTGGCCATTCCTGCCCAGTGGGGACTCCCTGGTGGGCAGTGCCTGCTCTGGAGCTCCCACAGGGTTGGTGGAGATGTCAGCCGCAAGGCGGTCTGGGGCTCCCCTCTCCCCACTCCTGCTTCCCGCTCTCCCTTCTCCCACAGGGGTCAGACCTGCATTACACGTGAGCCGTTTCCCTGCCCGATCCGGCTTCTTCCACCGGTGTGACTCCCCAGCAAACCGACTGCAATCCTATCTCCATCTTGGCAACTGCACACCAAAGGCCCTAAACTGACACAGTTGGGGTACAGATGGCTCCAGCCCCCACCCAGCCCCTGCTAAAGCACCAAAAACAGGAAGAAATACCAGAGAGTGAGAAACATTGTGCTGTATTTAAAGGTTTACATATAATAAATTAATGCTTTTCAAATTAAAAAAAAATACAGTAGTTATATACATAACCTAATTTTAGAAATAATATCAAAAATTTAATTTGTGGTTCTTTGGGGATATGAGGCCCTCCTTCCCTCCCACCCACGAGCAGGCCCTGCCAGACATCAGCTCTGGGAAGCTCTCCAAGGTCACCCCAGGCTGCACTGGGAGGCTCTGTCTGCGCTCCCATAGCATCCCAATCTCTGTCAACAGATTATGACCCTGTACTTTTCACCCCCCATCTCTGCCTCTACCCCAACTCAGCAGTGAGAGGCTGGAGGACCTCAGTAAATGGCTTTGGGTCAATCAGTGAATGACTGACTCAGGCATAAGTCCCCAAAAGGACCCCATAAAAGACCCATCTCTACAGTGTTTCTGCAGGTTTACAAAACGCTCCGGACTAGAGACCAGGTGTTTCCTTTCAGTCTGGAGTGAACGTGGAGGTGGAGGAAGGATGCTCCTCTGAGGTCCTGTTACAACCCTTTCTCAAGCCCTGGGACCCAGGGGCACTGCCAGGGCCCCTCACAGGGGGCGGGAGAGATCATATCCATCTTCTGCTCTGCTTCTCTCCAGGGGAGAAGACTTCTCGGTTACTGGTGACGACAAGAGGCCCAGCAGCCCCATCTGTTGGGGGGGGGGGACTGTGAGCCAGCCCCACCCCGCTGGGCGACGAGGCTGGTCCTCTGGCCGCCAGGATCTGGGACAGGATCACCAGCCAGGGGCCCTGGGCTGACCAGGGCTCCAGGAGCTGGCACCAATCTTCTCTGGGAGCTTCGAGCGAGTCAAGGGCTTTGGTTTCTCTCTCTGGATCACGTCCTGGGGGAGATCTTCCAAGGAAGAGATCTCCAAGTCACTCTCATCTTCAGAAAGCTGCAGGGAGGTGAGGGGGAGAAGAAAATGCATCTGACAAGGGAGGATGGAGGGAGGGGAGGGGGAGAAGAAAATGCATCAGACAAGAGAGGATGGAGGGAGGGGAGGGGGAGAAGAAAATGCATCTGACAAGAGAGGATGGATGTGCAGGACGGACATGGGGACAAAATGCGAATTTGGAAGAAAGCAGGAGAGGGATGCTTCTCCTCCTGCCTTCTCATTTCCCTGAGAACCTGCTTCAGAGACCTGGGGTCACAGCAACGCAAACACCCCTGAAATTCCACTGGCCACACCAAGGCAAGCTCCTTGGAGAGGCCTGTGGCAGAGCAGGTTGCTCTTGTTGTAATTTAAACTTTGTCCAGATTTTTTAACTGCCCACAGTGATGGATCTAGAAGCCTAGAGCCTCAACTTCTCCAAATTCCTGAGCTGATGCACCAGGGGCTAACATGCCCACCCCACCCGCCACAGACTTCTTGTCTAGGGGCTGGGAAACACTCTGACCATAGGAGCATGAGGGGAACTCGAAGTGCCAGGAATCTTTCGGCCTGGAAAGGGTCTGCGCTGGGGCCAACTGAGGAGCCCAGAATGGGCCAAGGTCCCAGGCTGTCCTGGAACCAGAGCCACGGTCATCCCCCCAGAGCTCTCAGTGCCCAGGTCATTTGCCTGGAATGTAAGGCCAACCAATCAGAAACCAGCAGGGCCCGGGGCGGCAAGCAGGCTCTGAGCAGCGCCTCAACCTGCTTAGGGCTGTTGGTGTTCTTTCACAACATGGGAAAAGGGATGAATACTTTCTAAATCCTTTAGACTCATTACTCGCAAACACACATGGGCTGCATAATAAACCAAACGTGTTATGTAGTACAAGGCAGGTATTTGGGGTTGGGGGAGTATGCTAGGGAGAACCAAAAAGTGATGGCCCACTCTTTCTGAATTTTAGGGCAATAGCATCCCAGGATGCATCTTCTTGATTGAGAAAGGAGTGTAAAGTAATAAGAGCTCGAAATGTTTCTGCCTAAGACAGCAACAGGAATATGGAAGTTGTTCCCTGATGGGGGGCGGGCAGCGAAGAGGACGTCCTGACGGGAATGGTCTGGAAGGCTGAGCATCTGAGTTCTAAATCTGATGGCAGCTGGAGCCTGAGAGAGGCAAGGCCATCGAGACATTCTTAGTGATGAGAAATGGCCTTGAATATTTAGTCTAAATATCCCCATTGTGTGCTGTGGCCTACTCTGACGTGCTGTGTGATGCTACTCCAACACCCCACCCTGTGAAGAAATCTGCTCTGCACACAGCCTCGCGCTGGGGTCCTCGGGCATGAAGGAAGGGGGAGGGGTTGGCTGTGGGGTGAGGCGGAGCCGGAAGAGAGCAGCTACTGCAGGAAGCCAGACACAGAGCTGGGTCCAGGCTCTATCAGAGGCAGGAAGTGGGAGCGTATGCGGCCCGGAGACACAACCCACTGAGCGGTTGTTCGTATAATGAAACAACAAGCATTGGAAAGTGGCCATCGCTCTACCTGTGCAAGGGCAGAGGGGACAGTGAGGTCACCCACAGTGTCACACCAGGACCCAGGCTGACGCTCGCTGGGCCCTCCCTCAGGCCCCCAAACTCAGAGCTGGCTCTGTAGGGAATTGCAGGGCAGCCTCCAAGCCCCTACAGCCTACCTGGGGCTTCCCTCCTGGCACAGCAGCCCTCTGTGGCCCGGCATTGGGCTTGCAGAACAGACTGACCTCTCCAGCAGGCTTCTTGGTCGAAGCCCCCAGCTGCTTCTCGTGATTTCTGACCATCGACCGCACCAGTGTTCCTGGAAGGCAATCAAGGGGAAAAGCCCAGAGTCTGAATGCATCATCCTTATGGGTCACATCCAGGCTCTGGTGTGGATAAAGGGAGCGTGGAAAAGGGTCAAGAGGAAGAAGGAAGGGCAAAAACAATAAAAGAGGGGCCGAGAGAGAGAGGCCGAGGCCGGCGTGTGCTTGGAACACCCTGTAAGTATACTGTGCACTTAAGGACACGGCTGGGTACACAGGCTTAGGAAGCTGCCCTTCCCTCTCAACGGGAGGCCGGGAGGAATCCCTGCTCAGTTGGTACATGAACTGCAAGACTAACGTGCAGTTCCTCCTCCAACACCTTCACAGAGAAACGAAGAAATATCATCAATATAAATTCGCACAGGAGGGCTGCGGGCCAGACACGCTTTCTGTGAACTCCACGCAAGAAGGGGGCTAAGCAGTGACTACGTTATCAACGGACTCTGGTGACGTGGGAGAGCAAAGTGGGTGTCCAGACCTCAGGACCGGCCAAGAAGCAGGGAGCTAGCCACGGACTTCCAGGATTCAAACATCTGGGGCCTGAACAGAGGTCCGGAGCTACGACAGCCCTCGGCTCATTGATTCATTCAAAAACTGTTTGTTAAGGGCCTAATGTGTACCTCGCCCCTCATTACCCATCTTGTCCGGAAACCTCATTTTACAACAAAGGAACCAAAACCCTTCACACAAGCACACACAGGGAGCAAGTGACAGAGGCTGAAGCGTGTCCGAGGACTCCAGATTCCCGGTTCCTAGATGTTTACACCCTATCATCTCGCCTGGCAGGTCGTCAGTACTTCTCCAGAGATCTGGTTCTAGTGGTCGATGGATTGGCAGGCTTGGAACACACTGTGGACAAGATGAAGTACTGCAGAATCCATGGACACTGGACTTGGCAGATAGAGCTGGGCTTACACCCCAGCGCTTCCACTTACTGACTTTGGAAAGACAAAAGTTCCATATTCTTTCATCTTTGGCTAGAAAATGCAACTGAAGCCAGAAGCTACAAGCCTCTTAACATTTTTATAAGAAAACCTTCCTCTCCTGAGGAAGCCAGCACACCTGAGCTCTTGCCAGGTGTCTGGGCGCTCCCCTCCGAGGTCTCGGTGTCAGACCAGTCCGAGTCATCCTGCAGCCGGGGCCTCGAAGGAACTCTCGGGGACTGGAGGGACGCACGAGAGCCGGTATCTGCCTCCGAGGCCTGTTCAGAACTGAACGGGGGCGTAC